CTCTCTCCCAGGGCCAAAGAATGTCTGAAAAGCCTAAACCCAGAAAAGAGAATTAGTAAAAGGATCCAAATGAAAGTGAAATAAAAAGTTAGGACTCTTTCCAATTTGTATTCAACCTCTTACTTAATCATATCGTACCTTCTGTTTGTCCTTCAAGATGTTTGCTACCTATTTTCCATGCAAATACAGGTGTGCGTGTGTGTGTGTGTGTGTGTGTGTGTGTGTAGAAAGGTGTATTTACATTCTTCCATGGTTTCTGTTTCCCATTCTATGGCGAATTTTATTTTAAATAAGGCCTACATCTTACATTGGGTTTAAGAAAAGATCACAAAAAAGATTCCTTTAGGATTTTTATGTGCTTGTTTGTTTTTCCTATTTAGAGAGCTGTATACCTCCTAGTTTTGGGTAGTCATACGGCAGTTTTTTAAGAACTTCTATTTCTACTTAAAAAGTCAGACCAGTGGCATTTTTCATTGCAATACTCTAAGCTAAGTACATTATCAACATCCAAACATCATAGCTCCCCAACACAGCCCCAAAAGAGAGCATAAGGCCCTCACCAGCCCATGAAATGCTAACCAGCTTTATGCAGCCACATAAGGTCATTTCAGAAAATCCAGAAGTCCCTTACCTGTCTTCTTCTGTTCTTCTCTCTTCCTGTCACCTCCATTCCCACATCTCAAAGAAATCTGCCCAAAGTCTCTGTCTACATCAATTCACGAACATCACTTTTACGTTTGCCTCTTGGCATCTCCCAAAGGCTAGTCGCCTGTTTCATATACTCATCTGATCTGATGAAGCAAAATTCAGGCTTTGGGGCCTGAGGTTTGTGACATAACACACACCACCCACATTAGAGGCCTGGCTGCATCCCAAGACAAACAAGACGTTTTGGAGAAACAAAGTAATGTGCACAGATCTACCCTGAGCAGAAGGAAACTGAATCAGTGCTCCTCCATAAAATGATCTGAAATGTGGTCAATAGCACCTGCTTAATACAGTCCAATTCTCCGAAAACAATTAAAAACACTGTAAACTGACCTTGTCTGCCCCCCGTCATGGTGATTACCTAAAGCCGGCTTCTCTTAAGAAGCAGTCATGAGTAGAACAGACCAAACCCTCTCTTTGCAGTCACTTTCTCTTGCTCTCTTTAAAATCAAGATTATCAAAAGGCCTATTAGGGGCACCTGGGTGGTGCAGTCAGGCGTCCAGCTCTCAGTTTCAGCTCAGGTCCTGATCTCAGGGTAGTGAGATTAAGCCCCGAATCAGGCTCTGTGCTGAGCACGGAGTCTGCCTAAGACTCTCTCTCCCTTTCCCTCTGCCCCTCCCTGCTGCACGCATGCGCATTGTCTCTCTCTAAAATAAATATATCTTAAAGAAAAAAAAAAAAGCTTCTGTTAGCACGGCCCTATAGGCAAAACTATAGGTTGAAGTTCAAATGATTCCTCCCAGATAACCACTGTAATTCTCCCGTGATTGGAAGTTGCCGCAAGTTAGTAAAATCTCTACACCTGGGTAGGGAGCAGGGAAAAGACAGGCTTGTGAAGTCAGCGTTTCTCTTAAGCTGGTGATTTCCTCATGGATGACAATCGGCTTCAACCAAGTAGGACACACCACTGTATTGTTTTTTTATAATCATAAGTGAAAAACCCTATGCTCTAGAACAAATTAAGATGTTTCTTTCAGAATAAGAACGTTTGAATGAAAGTAATACTGAAATGTTCTTCCTTCAAAATCTCCCAATGCATGTCCCCTACATATACAATGAAACACAACCAAACAGTAATGACCACATAAAAGTTTCTTTAAAAAAAAAACACATAGGGGCGCCTGGGTGGCTCAGTTGGTTAAGCGACTGCCTTCGGCTCAGGTCATGATCCTGGAGTCCCTGGATCGAGTCCTGCATCGGGCTCCCTGCTCCGCAGGGAGTCTGCTTCTCCCTCTGACCCTCCCCCCTCTCGTGTGCTCTCTCTCTCACTCTCTCAAATAAATGAATAAATAAAATCTTTAAAAAAAAAACACACACACACATAGGGGTGTCTGAGAGGCTCAGTCAGTTGAGCGACCAACTCTTGGTTTCCTCTTAGGTCATGATCTCAGGGTCATAAGATCAAACCCTGCATCAGGCTCCACACTCAGTACGGAGTCTGCTTGGGTTTCTCTCCCTGTCCCTCTCCCTCATGCTCGCTCTCTCTCTCAAATAAATAAATAAAATATTTTAAAAATAAAAATAAATAAATAACCACACACAAAGGTAATCCTTACCAGGAGCCTTCAATCAGGTCTTGAAAAGTTTTCTAATTTCTAATGTTTTCTAATATCATGACAAGCCAGTTAGAACACAATGGATTTCAAACATACAGTTTCTGTTAGGTCATTTATATTCCACATAAGAAAAGGCAGAAATTTGAACTAAGAACACTCAGATATAACTTTAAAACCCTGACTTAATAAAGTATGAATGCATGCATGCACAAACACACATATGCACACACATCTTGTAAAAGAAAAAACAGCACCACTTGGACTCATCCAAAATGAACAGCCTATAGTCATGTGCTTAAAACATGATGTTTGTTCAAAACATTAAATGGGCTTTATAGCAGTAGCAGCCAGTTTTCTGGAGAGAAGGTAAAGACTGGGTTGTTGCTTGAAGGAGCGTGTATCTTAAAAAGTGCTTTTCCACAATCTTAACTAGTAAAAAAGCATGGAGGAAGAACATGCTAATGCAGATGGTAAGATGCATAGTCAATGCACTTTTGAGGTTTACGAAACACAACTTCCTCAGGCATTTGTATGGGGGCCTTTTGAGAAAGTTACCACGTTTCTCTCCGCCTCGCATATAGTCTTGGTAATCCTAGTACTGAGTTCCACCCATGTCTGAAGACACACAAAGCAGCAGTGTATATATAGCCAGGACCTTTCGCTGCATCTAAAAGCATGGGCTGCCTTTTCTCTCTATTCTGACATCAGATGATGATTTTTAAACAATTCAATCTAAACTTCAAAAAAGCACATTAATAAAATCCTCCTCTCAGCTTTCTCCCAATCAAAATAAAAGAAAATCAAAACCATCAGAGAACAAAGCAAAGAATGACACTCTTCTCTGGACCCCAGCCTAGTGCTACTCTCCTGCCCCACCCCAACATACAAGTTAGCAGCTTCCTAGATGCAGAATTGACACCCGAAGTCGCTGGCTCCAAGGGAAGAGATGGCCTTCAAACCCCACCAGCACTCCGGGGATTCAGCAGAGCAGGAAAGGATCCCAGAGCGATTTTCACCAGAGTGTGGTTCCAGCAAAACCTCTAAAATCAGTTGCCCTACCTCTCCCGACTCTAGCATCTCACATTCCCTCTTCAACCTACTGTTCCGGAGTCTCCACTACTGAGCTACTCTTGCCAAGGTCATCAACAGCATCCATTTGGCAATTCCAATGGATAATTCCATCCTCTTCTTCCTGATTTTTCAGTAGCATCAGCTCTGTGAACACCACCCTCCTTTCACCTGAGCTTCATGACCTCATACCCCTCTATTTTCCTACCTCCCTGGCTGACCCCTTCTTGGGTTTCTTTGTGGCTCTCTTCCATCTCATTCTGAGCCTCATTTGTGCGTATACACGCACATACACACACACACACACACACACACTTTTCCTCCTTTCTTATGGATTTGCCTATCATCTAAATGTTACCTACATTCAGGATTGCTCCTCTGAGTTCCAGACTCGCATTCAACTGTCTACCTAAGATCTCTAGGTGTATATTTACCAGGTACCTCAAACTTAGTATGTCCATAACAGAGCTCTTGATTCTCAAAGCTGGCCCGCCCAATTCAAACAAGAACAAAAAAACAAAACAAAATCTTCTCCCCCAGTTTTTACTCCCCTCAGACGTTGCCAGAGCCAAAATCTGGGAGTCATTCTTAATTCCTCCCTTGTTCTCACTCCCCGTATCTCAGCTACCACCAAGTGCTGATGGTTACACCTCTAAGACATATCCCTTTTTATATATACAACAGTTTTATTGATATATAATTCATATACAATACAATCCACTAATTTAAAGTGTATAATTTAGTGGCTTTAGAATATTTATACACCGGTATGACCACTATCAAATCAATTTTAGATATTTTCATCACCCCCAAAAGAAACTATGTATCCATTAGCAATCACTCTCAATTTTCCCCTAGATACTCCAGTGCTAGGCAACAACCATTACTCTTTTTGTCTCTCCAGATTCGTCTGTTCTAGAAATCCCATAAAAATGGAATTATGCATCATGGTCTTTGTGTCTGGCTTTTTTCACTTAGCATATTTCTAAGATTCATCCATATTGTCATCCATCAGTACTTCATTCTCTTTTACAGCTGAATAATATCTTATCACATGGATATACACTATTTTATTTGTTCATCAGTTGACAGACATTGGGTTTTTTCCATTCTTCAACAATTATGAATGATACTGCCATGAATATTTGTGTTTTTATATAGACATATGTTTTCATTTATCTTGGTATATACCTAGGAGTGAGTATGCTGAATCATAAGGCTACTCTCTTTAACTGTATGAAGAATTGCCAGACTGTTTTCCAAAGCAGCTGCTTTGGATAGATTTTGCATTCTCACCAGTAGTGTATGAGAGTTCCAATTTCTCCACATCTTCACCAACACTTATTACTGTCTTTCATAGTGGCTATGAAGTAATATCACACTGTGGTTTTGATTTGCATTTCACTAATGGCTAGTGATGTTGAGAATCTTCCCATGTGATTACTAGCCATTTGCCTATCTTCTTTGGAGAAATGTCTATTCAGATCTTTGCCTATTTTTGAATTCAGTTATCTTTTTATTACTGAGGTGTAAGAGTTCTTTATATATGCTACATATAAGTCCCATATCAGATTATATGATTTGCAAACATTTCTTCCCATCCTGTGGGTTGTCTTTTCATTCTCTTGATAGCATCTTTTGATTAATTCTGTTGATGTCCAACTTACCTATTTTTCTGTTTCACTTGTGCTTTTGGTGTTGTATCTCAAAAAAAAAAAAAAAACCATTGCTTATCCCAAGGTCATGAAGATTAATACCCATGTTGTCTTCTAAGAGTGTTATAGTTTTCGGTCTTACATTTAGGCCTTTGATCCACTTTGAATTAATTTTTGTATCTCGTGTGAGGTAGTGGCCCAACTTTATTCCTTTTCATGTTGATATCCAGTTGTCCCAGATCACTTGTTGAAAAGGATATTTCCCAAAGAATTGTCTTGGCACAACTGACAAATATCAATTACCATAAATTTATGGGTTTATTTCTGATCTATAAATTCTATTACAAAAATCTATATGTCTATCCTTATGCCAGTACCACACTGGCCTGATTATTGTGGCTTTATATAAAGTTTTGAAATCAGGAAGGAGAAGTCTTCCAATTCTGCTCTTTTTCAAGATGTTTTGGCTATTCCGGATCCCTTAAATGTCTATGTGAATTTTAGGGCCAGTCTGTCAATTTCTACAAAGAATCCATCTGAGATCTTTTTTTTTTTTTTTAAGATTTTATTTATTCATTTGAGACACAGAGATACAAAAAGAGAGAGAGCATGAGGAGGGGTAGAGGGAGAAGCAGGCTCCCTGCTGAGCCAGGAGCCCAATGTGGGGCTTGATCCCAGGACCCTGGGATCATGACCTGAGCCGAAGGCAGATGCTTAACCATCTGGGCCAACCAGGCGCCCCTCTGTCTGAGATCTTGATAGAGATTGCACTGAATCTACAGATCAATTTAGGGAGTACAGTCATTTTAACAATAGTAAGTCTTCCGATTCATGGACATGAGATGTTTTATCACTTATTTAAATTTTCTTTAATTTTTTCAACAATGTTTTGTAGTTTTAATAGTGTAAATTTTATACTTCTCTAATTACATTTATTCCTAAGTATTTTTTTCATGCTATTAGAGGAGGAAATATTTTCTCAAGTTCATTTCAGATTGTTCACTATAAGTGTATAGCAATAGAACTTATTTTTGTATATTGATCTTATACCCTACAATATTTCTGAACTTGTTTATTAGTTCTGATAGTGTCATGGATCCCTTAGGATTTTCCATATCCATGATCATGTCATTTGCAAACAGGGATAGTTTTACTTCTTCCTCTCCAATCTAGGAGCCTTTTATTCCATATCCTTTCTTAACTGCCCTGGCTAGAACTGTCAGTACAATACTGAATAGAAATGATGAGAGTGGACATCTATGTCTTGTTCCTGGTCTTAGGGGGAAAGCTTTCAGTCCTTCACATTAAGTGTGACGTTAGCTGTGGGTTTCTCACAGATGACCTTTTCAGGTTGAAGAACTTCCCTTCAATTCCTCCTTTGTTGTTGTTGTTTGGTTTGTTGTTGTTTTAATCTTAAAGGGGTGTTGGAATTGTCAAATGCTTTCTCTCTGTAAGACATAACCTTTTCACACTTAAGTTTCTTTCTGTACGCACTCTCTATACTACCTCCATAGCTCAGTCTTTCTCATCTTTACAGGTCTCTACTTCAGGAAGTCCTGGACCATCCAGTTCAAAAGTCTCTATCCATCACTATCTCTTCTCCCGTCTATCATATAAACTTCAGAGCACTCAGCCATTATTATTGTAAGTACAAATTCTGATAACCCCTGTATAAGGTTTAGTATTTGCCAGCATGTATTTATCATCTTAATCCTCACAACAACCTTACTAGGTAGATGTTATTATCACCATTTTATACATGTGGAAGCTGAAAGAGAGTTTAAGTATCTTGTTCAAGGTTATACAGTTTATAAATGGCAGAGTCAGGTTGAAAACCCAGGTCCGGGGGTGCCTGGGTGGCTCAGTCATTAAGCGTCTGCCTTTGGCTCAGGTCATGATCCCAGGGTCCTGGGATCCAGTCCCGCATCGGGCTCCCTGCTCTGCGGGAAGCCTGCTTCTCCCTCTCCACTCCCCCAGCTTGTGTTCCCTCTCTCTCCATGTGTCTCTCTGTCAAATAAATAAATCTTAAAAAAAAAAAAAAAAAGAAAGAAAACCCAGGTCCCCTAGCTCCCAAGACCCTTCTCTTAAACATTTGTTATCATATCTATCAGTAATTGCTCTTACTTATTTCTAACTTTATTTGCCAATCTCATTTATTGACATATTTTTAGTATCTAACACCATGCACGGCCGGTGTTCATTAACTACTTAATGAACAAATGGAACACTGGTCTCAAGATGCCCCACAAAAGAGGACTCTGGTAAGTACTGCTGACTATACACACCCATGAGATTCACAAGGCTCATTTGTTTTTGAGATCCTTCAGTAAGAAAGGTCGCTTAATTTTAATTCAATGTTTTCTAAACTCATTTGAGCACAGACCCATCTTCCCACCTCTGTCCCCACTGCATTAATAGTATAGGGAACTGTGTTCCAGGGAACACAATTTGAGAAATACTGCCCCGGAGAGGCAGTCCAGAAAGCACAGTTCCCAGAAGGGTGCTTCTGTTCCCCTTTCTGTGCCCAGCTCTGCTCTCATCTAAAAAGTCTCTCCCATAGCCTCAGCTCAGTACAAAAAGAAAAACCCAATATTAAGTTTTCCTCTTCTTTCCTGGAGCTCCTAAAGGGCCCATCGGACACTAAGGAGATATAAAGATTTTCCCAACTATCAAAAGGGCTCATCTCCCCTGTATGTTTGTGGTCCTGTAACTTATCACAGAGGGAGCTTTAATTTTCTCAGAGCTCTGGTTTCTTGAATGTGATTCAAACAAATTCACCCTTCATGATGTACTTTAATCTGCATTCTCAGGATGCAGGCAAAGCCAATGATGTGTTAACCACAAAATTGTATTTCTTTCCTAAATACTTACTGTAATGCTGATATTTAAATCATAGCTTCAGATATAGAATGACTTCAAAATCTTCATATCTCAGCTCTGTAAGTCTTCAAAGTCATCTATTCGAACTCTCTCTGAAAAGGGGGAAAGAAAAATTTCAACTTTGAAATCTAAGAAAGAAAATAGCAAACAATATAAGACAACCACATGTATAAGCAAAGCAGGATACACTGCTGTGATTAATTTTCTGCTTCTAAAGAGCTTTTACTCTTTCAATTAGTCATCTACATGAGCTATAACAAATTACAGGCAGTGGTTAGAGTACCTTTTTAAACCTCTTATAAAAAATACTCAATAAAAATTTGTTTTCCTTCATCTTAAAGCCAATGAATAAAGTCATTTCTATGCAATGGTTCTCCAAAGCTCTAATTTTTCCATAGTGACTGAAATTTTATACATTTGGTCTAACAGCAAGAATTATGTTGAGTAAATACGAGTACTTTCTAAAATACAAATTTACAACAGATCCAAATAAGGGGATTTGGGGGAAAAAAAGCCTTGTAACGAAGGGAGACTTGAGAAAACTGAGAAGGATGGGTTGGAATTCATCAAAGAGTAGGATATGTATAGCCAGAAGAAACTGACAAAGGCCCAATTCCTTAGAAAAAGAGATACGGAATAAAGAAGTTGGAGACTAGTGGAACCCGTCTAGGGCAACCAGAGTGAGTGACTGGGCTAGAACTTGGTCTATGCCATTAATTCCAGGCAGAGAAAAGCTTCCACATTTATTTTCCTCACAGGCTGGGGAATGAGGGAAAACCCCACTCACATATTGTAAGTACGACAGAGGAGGACTACAGCATATGTACATTTCCCTGTGTGATTTTCCTACCTGCAGGTAATCTGTATACAAGATAACTCGCTTGATAATAGTTCATTTCTTACACTCAAAATGGCTGCCTGCCTGTGTGGCATCCCAGTGACTCAGCCTGGGAGAGGGATACCAAATACAAGCAGGGCTTTAGCCCTGAGAGCCCAGACTAAAGAGGGAAGCCCCTAGATTTATTAGTTGGTTAGTGGTTAGTTGGTTAGTGGTAAAACAGCGTTGGCTTGGGAAAACCTATTGTTTCAGGCTACTGAGGCACTTCCTCCTATCTCCTCCCAATGTCTGTTCAGCACTTCTTTGTTCTACCTTTTGAAAACATCATCTTAGCAAAGAGTTCACTCAAGCACAGAAGGCCCTGGAAGGGACAGGAGCCCAAGACACACCAGCATTGTAAAGGACCAGAGCTGGCATCAGTCCTCAGTTTTTAGGAACATATGGGAGGCATGGTGTCTGATCCTATTTACTTAACTCGTGTAGAGAGAATGGGGTTCCTCTCCAGAAGTCCGTGCTGGGGCAACTGACAAGGCAATCACCCTGTGGTGATGACGGAGCACAGGGGAGTCAACCCACGTGAAGTTCCCCCAAAGCAAAAGAACATTATTGTCACCCCTGCCCAGTAAAATTCAGACAGCTATGAATGCATTACTTAAAGCCACAAAGATGGTTGTGGTAAACACAGACAAACTATTGGGTTTAAGTAGACTGTTTTTTTGTGCAAAAAAAAAAATCTTTTTTCCTCCTCCCCCACAAATCTGTTTATTACTAAAAAGTTTTGGAGCCTTGTGAATGGAGCTAGACCAATTTAAGCCTGGCTTTCCCCCGGGGCCCCTCCTTAGTATACTAAACTGAGGAGGAATTTGCCTGCTTTAGAAAAGGAGACCCACTTTCTATACTGGCCACAGAGGAATGAAAAACGAAATTATTTAAAAGGAAAAGGGCCAAGAGAACCAAAAGAAGCCAAGAGGTAAGGGCAGGAGAAGAAATCCTCATCTCTCCCTCTTAGAGAGCTCTATTCTGCCCAGACTCCCACGTCTGTTTTGTCCTTGGCCCATGTCCCTCAAGTGCCCTGTAGAGGAGGGTTCTCAAGCTTGAGTGTGCAAAAGGGTTTCCTTGGAACTCTACAACTGCAGTTCGAGAAGAAAGAGAATCTACTGTGGACATCATGAGCCCAAGGACCAAGAAGGAGTTTGAAAGGCCTGTTCCTGCATCACTAGTTCTAGGAATCTGGTTTGCCCAAAGACAAAGGGATAGTCACCAGGTAATAAAACTTCATAATATAGCAACGGACAGGAAAACAAAACAATAAATCAGCTTTAATGCACTCAAGATAACTCGGGGAAAGAAAAGGGCAAAACCACAATCAGGAAAGGGTCCAAATTAAGTGACAGGCTGAAGTTTAGTAAACTAGTCAAACCTGCATAAGAGCAGCAAAAATTCCAGAGGAAAACAGGGCAATGGGGAAAGGAGAATCAATGTGCAGCAGGAAGAGGCACCCAAGTGAAAGTCTTAGCTCATCTTGCCAGGGCTCGCTCCATCCTTCTGAAGTATTTCTTCCTGGTCAAAAACAAACTTTCACCTGGCTTTCAGATGATTATCAACCCCTGTGCAAAACCTCTCACATGAGTTTGTGACTAACTGTAGACCAACTGTATCTGGAGGGAAGATACACCAGAGAAAAACATACTTTATCTTACATTTCAAAAGACAGGTTTGACAGAACATGCTGATGGAGGTGTCCACAGTGAAGGGACATTTCTGGTGAGTTTTATTCATGTACTACTTTACTACAGTGTCAGGTGCCTCAAGGTCCAGAGCATTTAGCAGGGTCTTACTCCCCTCCACCAGGCATCCAATAACGGGATTCCTATTACAGATCCTAGGGATGAGGCTTCCATGAGACCCACTTTTGCTCTGGTTACTTTCTCCCATCTTTCTTTTCCTGGATGCCTAGAGCAAGGAAAGGAGGTTCTTTAAGATATTATCAGGAGCGGGGTGCCTGGGTGGCTCAGTCAGTTAAGCAATTGACTCTTGGTTTTGGCTCAAGTCATCATCTCCTGGTCATGGGATGGAGCCTTGCATCTGGCTCTGCACTCAGCATGGAGTCTGCTTCAGATCCTCTCTCCCGCTCCCTCCTGATCACTCTCTCTTTCTCTCTCTCTCCCTCTCTCAAATAAACAAATAAAATATTTAAAAAAAAAGATATTTTCAGGAGCCATGGGCATTTCCTCCTTATCCCATACAAATCTCAAGATATCTTTCAGGATTCAGCTTAGATGCCTCCATTTCCATGAGACCCTTCTCCAACTGTCTTACTTCTTCCTCAGCGAGCTTTCTGTCTCTTCAAATCATGCCAATTATCTAATTATAGATGACCACTATACTTAATTCTCAACCATCTAGGATTTGATTAGCCAGAACAGCAATAATATAATAATAATAATAAAAATAGTAAACACTGTTATTATTTGAACATTTATAAATAATAAACAAAATTCCTTCAAATCAACAAAACGGTGTACCTATTAGAAGGCACCCACTGACTGGAACTACAGAATAACCTGTAGACATCACCACGGGTCTGTAGCTGTGTGGGGACAGTCCCATTCCATCACCCCTCAGATATGTGCTTACTATATTGGTGCCTGAGGTGTCATTCTGCTAGCATTAATTCCAGGACCACACAAGTTGATGGAAAAACCGTCAGTAAGTGACTAGACTGGTCATGTGCAGGAGCCAAGGTTAGAGGCAATTGAGCAATGACAACAGGAGAAAGGTGACACAGGAGAGAGGGCAGCAGGGACACTGTGGGGGGAGGGGGACTCCCTTCAAAGATCACTGGGCCCACTGAGATGACTTTAGAAAGAAGAAAGGACAGTTATTGAGGACACACTAGGACCATCTAGGTTTCATTTTAATATGGGGGAAGGCATACAAAAATCTTGGCTAAAGAACAAATAACACCATTTTAATAATACTAACCATTGGCCCATTTTATTTGTCAAGTAATTTATAGGAGAGTTTGTCATCCTGAACTATTACGCTTGTATTATTTTTGCACATTAGGATAATATCCATAGAATGGTGAATATTTTCCTAAATACTGGATTCTTCATGAACTACATGTTGGTAGCCTTCACTGAGTAATGGTATACTAAATGCATCCCAAAGTATAATTCAACTGTAAATATCCTTTTGTACTCCTCTTGATTGAGAGATATGACTTTCATATGTTCATGCTTTTTTTTTCTCTAAAATGAGACTGTGGGTTTTTATCTTGTATGTTTTTAGTATTTCATAGGCATGAAGTCAGTGCTCAAACAATAGATTCTGAAAGACTGACAGGGGTACCAGTGGGCACAGGGCAGCTCATTCCCCCTGCGAGGGCTCTGGCAGTCAGCATGCCACCAGCTGCAGGAAGATGCTCACCATCAAAATAGCAACTGACGCGGGGACACATGAAGGAGAGGGAGCTAAAATAAGCACCTCAATCCTCCCCGGTGAGATCCAGAAACTCCACCACCCTGCTGTTCTTGGGGCTATCTTCCTAGGGGGGCACGTTTCCCACTTGATGGGCTTTCTGCTGCTAGTTCGGTAGGTTTCCTATTAGGGCATACATCCCATTACAGCAACAGGTCTTAAAAGGGAGCATGAGATCCTCTTAGTTTTTGAACATGCTCCTACAAAACCTTGGGAGGTATTACGTTTCAAAATCCAAAGGATGTGGGTATTATCTAAAATCACGAGTGTAAAAATTAAGTTAAGGGGCAGAATTCTCAATTTTACCTTCTATCATATATTTTTTTCAAAATCTTTGGTGCCTTCTAGGACTTGCCTTGTAGCAACCACAAAATGCATAAACAAGTAGCAAACAAACATTGAAGAAAAAGTCAGCTTGCTATTTGATAGACACATGTACTTGTGAATTTGACCTTATATTGTTTATAGCACCCAAATATAGTACTGTGGGCCAAATATTTGCATCCCCCAAAGTTAATATGTTGAAGTTATAGTCCCTAAGGTGATAGTATTTGCTGTTGGGGCCTTTGGGAGGTGACTAGGTCATGAAGGTGGAGCCTTTATAATGGGATGAGTGTTTTTATAAGAACAAACAGTGAGAGCTTGATTCTTCTCTCTGCTCTCCATGTGAGGACACAGCAAGAAGGTGGCTGTCTGCAAACCAGGAAGAGGGCCCGCACAACTCACCACACCGGCCACCACCTTGATCTTGGACTTGCTAGCCTCCAGACT